TGCTTTTGTCAAGTAATGGGAAACTAAAAACACTGACGATACTTAATGTTTGTCCTTTAATGAACAACTGCTTTGAAAACATACAGAGAGCTTACTGTCAGTTGTGCAGGAAGAAAAACAGTTACCAATTGGTAAAGCAGAATGTCTTGACAGCACCTCATCAGAACTACTAAAACCAAAGATCCCTAGCAAAGCTCACAGTGATATGAAAAGTTCTGGAAACCAGTCACACTGTATAAAATCAGTTCTTATAATTTGTATCAACATCTGTTTACAGTAATACTTGTAGATAGAGAAATATTTAATCTTCTTTCAACTCTCAACACTTTAATATCTAAAAGCTTAGGGATAATTGCTAAAGACAACTAACGAAAGTCAAGACTCAGAATCTTTGTTTAGATAGCTCCTCTGCTTTGTAATGCTACATTTGGTCCAAGATTTCCTTAACAGAAGCATCATTCAGAGTTCAACATCATGCATGTCAGTGAACCATCACACAAATAGTGGAATAAAAATAAGTGATATTTTGTCACTGCAATTATTCATCCAGAAGCAATTGTTCCACATAGCTTGAGGATACAAGAACAGTGTTTTCCAACAGGACTTGACTTTCCGTTGAGCTCCCTGGTTGCTAACATACAATGAGCTTATATAGTAGTAATTATACAGTGTATATTTTAATAGCAATACATTCCCTGCCATTTGCAACAGGCATACAATGCTAAAGAAGTGTATTTTGTACTGGTATATGCAGAAAATTGTAATTCTAAACTAGAACAAAATAACATCTAATTTAATAAAACTATTCAACTTTTTAACTTAGTTTGATGAACCAGCAAAAGCTATTTGCGATACAATGTACTATCTTTGACCAGAAAGCCTCTCACAATATGTAGGGTTTACAAATCACCAGGTAGCATTACCAGTTATTTATCTTTTAATGGTCTCTAAAATCCAATTTTTTTTAAAAAAAATCAATTTAAAGTCTGGTAATTTAGCGAAATCTATCCCAGGACACCACTGCACACAACATTCAACGCTCAGGCTTGTTTTGGGTCTCCTTGGAACACTGTTCTCCAATGGCAGCCACCCCAGCCTTTCCACTACATATACTAAGCAAAAACACATTGTTACACATAAAGTGGCTGTGGGAAGGAAAGAAAGGGTGCTCTCATAACTGCAATTCCCTACATATCTGGTATAGAAAATTTTGAAAAAACCCCATACCACTATGTTGATGACACAAAGATAGTGCTATACTATCAGCTGTAGAAAACGTTTTTGCATAAACAACCTTACAGCAGACATTTGTTTTCTACTCAGACCACTGTACTATATTTTGCAATACTTTTTCTTTTACGAGCTGTCTTATAGAAGCCTGCTATATAATGTGATCTGACAAGGCTGTCCATGTAAAAAAAAAATATACAAGTACTTACTAAAAGTTGAAATTTACAGAAAAAGCGTTCAAGTTGAAGCCTCAATAATCTACTTTCAAGTTCAGATAGATTATTTTGTTAAAGAATTTTTGTGAATTAAGTTTATGTCAGTCATAACTTCAAAACTACTATGGAGGTCAGACAAGGGACAAACCCATATAAAGTACGCAAACAAACTCAATTTCAGTTCACCTTACACTTAGTCCAATTCATTATGAAAGTATGCAGCATGTACTAGAAACCTGCAATACACTTAGTTTTTGTGCACATTATACTGAATTTAAGATATCAAAATACAACACAAAAAAGAAGGTTGGTAAAGTACAAGATATAGGCTGTATTTGTTCAATCATGATTATTTCAGCCATCTTATTAATCAGTTGATTTAGATCAAGTTTATGCTTATACAAATAATCTGAACATGCATGTAAATTATTACAGCTTTGGCATCTGCTGTCATCTAGTTACCACTCTCAGCAGAGTATTAAATTTTGTTTTTACAAAACTGAACAAAAAGATAAAGGTTTAGACCCTAAAATACATTCAAATAAATACCTACTTACGTACACAAAGTATGCAAAATTCTCAAAAAAACCAGCAGCTATATAAAGTCACAGAGCTAAACTTTGACTAAAAAGCCTAAGAGTTTAAAAATCTTCAGAAGTCATCTTGGAGACAAACACCGAAGAGTGATGACTGTCAGGCACCACCTAACAGCTACTGTCACACAGATATCATATTATTATGTACCATATTACTAGCAGTCCAAGACTGGTCCACCCGACTACTTGAAATGTCTTGCAGTCAAGTAGTGCAGCACATAATACAGCTTGGAAATACTTCCTATATGGAGACATCCTACCCAGAGGCTGCAGTTACAGAAGTGACTGAAGAAAAATTGGGAGTAACTGATCACAACACTAAAGCCTGTTCTGGCAGCATACTGTTGCTAGAAATGCTGTTTCTAGATGTCAACTGCAACCTTACCAAAGTTGTAATCACCTGAATGAAGCATTTGGGAGAGCTTTTCTGCACTGAGATTTAAGGACTTGTAACAAAACATCCTTAATTACAGCTCTTTTAATCCATTTTCAGTGTATTCCACAATTGAAACACCTCACCTTTGAGGCTTATCAAGTTGTGTACAGTAAGAATATATACATACAAAACACTGGAAACGACATCAGTCTCTCTTATAGGACTTGATCATGCAGTTATACAAAAACATCACATACTGTTTTGCTGCTGTTCTTCTAAGACACCTCAGTTCTCTCAAGAATAATTTCAAAGTGGAAAATCTTTTCATTACACATCTGTACCTCTCTGTGTTTTTCTCTAGAGCTTCAGCAACACATCTTCTGAGAAAACAGAAGTGATTGTTGAAGAGACTGTGGCTCAGTAACTCAGCAAGAACTTTAATAATTACTTTGAATTGCTTAAGTCTTTCATTGGATTGATGAAGTTTCTGCAGCCCAGCTGCAGCAAGCTGGCAGTAATAAATTCTCCATACATAAGTATGGAGTCTCCATAAGTATCTGACTATTTCATGCCTGTTTCTAAGTACATGAAAGCTGGAGGCAAAGCCTGTCATTTTACAACTTGGTACTTGCTTCTTTCATTATGTCCTCTAACAAAGGTACTAGTGTAAGGCCAAATAAGAATAGAACTCCCTGGAGATGCCTGCTGTGAGACACGTCATAGCATTTCTTCAAGAAATTTCAAAACAATAGCTTAAGGGCAAGTTTTTCCATTAGAAATCAAGTCATTTTGAAAGAGTCAATATTTATAATAAAGGCCACAGTACAACAGATGAATTAAATTACTGATTTTTCAATCCAAATGTACAAATACTTGAAGTTCAAAATACTTTCCAAAATTTCACATTTATTGTCTGCAAAGACAAACATAACTTGAGCTTTCTTTCTTGTTATATCAAGCAAATACATTTTCATGTTAATTTAATGTGGACTTCATGGTATGGAAATACAACTGTAACGGGACAGAAAAATCTGAATGTTTTTTCTTTCCATACATACAATAAACCTAAATAAAATTTAAATAGTTAACCAAAGTAGGACCATAATCCTTACTCTATTAACTATCTCTTCACCATATTCCTCCTTCCTTGTTCAAAGTTTCTTTAGAACATTTCAACAGCTATACAGTGCTATCAGAATAATACTACTCATGCTACTCAGAATATAAAAGTACTTTAGAGTTACATACAGTTTTAGACACTTGTCCAACTAAAACAAGAAATCTGAGACATGACAGGATTCCTGTCTATCATAACAGACAATCCAATTCACAGCAACAACAGCATTAATTGTACAACCTAAGAAATAGGAGAAATTTTGTGGCAATTACAGATAAGCTTCATGGAAGAAAAGAGAGGAGCTTGGCTCTTAACAAAAGAAAAAGAAAAAGGCATTTACAATACTAAGTGAGAACTTTGCATGGATAACATAGAACTTTAGAATTTATGAACATGGACTTTGATTAGGGAAAGGACTCTTCCTTGCATATTACTGATAGGAATAGCCAGAAGTTCATCACTAACTTAAATAAGGTTCATTATGGATCCCTAAATAAGGATGGATTTAAAAACATGTTGAATCATTTGAGATGTACTTCATACTAGAACAGTTGCAACGCTCAGAGCCACAAGTGAAACCCAATGCATGTACTGTTTGTACAGGCACAGAGGATCTGACATCACATGTTGTACTTGCTCTACTTTTGATTCAGAGTTATTTGATACAAAGATGGAAGGAGATGCTACATCTGAATTACCTCAGTATTTTTTTAGTATACATTTAATCCTTCAACATGGCACAGAGACAAAAAACAACACCTGTGCCTTGACAGATTGAATGAGATATGAATTCTGCATTATTTGGAAATCTGTATTTTTGAAACACAGGCAAAATTTAGATATAAAGAACAAATAATAAGATGCAATAAATCTATTGTAATTACCAGATGTACAAGCATTTTAGACAGATACTGGCACAGACTACTGTACTGCAGGAAAGACTTTTGATGTTTGATTGGATCCATGTAACACTACATATATCCTATTGAACTTAAAAGCTGATAAGCTTTGTATGGCTCTCAAACATCCCAGAACTCCTCCAGGAAATCTATTACCAGAAAAAAACAATGTATCCTTAAACAGGCTAGGGAGGTTCATGAAATTTACTTTTACTGCTGAATGAAAAAAGTTACTGTCTTCTTTAAGAAACCAGAGATAGAGTAAGATGACCAAATATTGCCGTTTCCTCATCCATCACAAAAAATTGTTTGCACAGAACTTCATTTGGACAAGGCTAAAAATCAAAATTAAATACTCCTTATGGTAGGACTACATTCTGTAGATAGTGGCACACAACATAATGAAAGCATGGCTTTCTACTGCAAAAGCACCACCAGACACAGTTATGTCTATTAAGAATATCAATACCATAATGAAGCCATACCCTATCTCAATCATTACGTGTCAAAAATAAGACCTAGTACACTTCAGAGGCTGACTTTTACTGAAGGGATAAAACTCCTTACCTTGAAAAGACTGTTTGGCTCGGTTCACTAGTTCTTCAATTGGATAACTTGCTAGATCTCCTCTGGCATGCTTAGTTTTGCAATAGGTACATGCGTTGAGACACCTGTTTAGAAAATAAAAATACTAAGTTTCTCACCAATAAAGCTTTTAGATGCACAACTTTATTTAGTAAGTACATCTGGAAAAATGACCTTTTATATCTATGACCAAAAAAGAGCTATACTCTGTTTTAAAAATCAGTATAGCAGTTTGAAAAGTGTTTTGTCCTCCTACCTTCTTTAATAGCTTTCACATCTGTATAAAAGGTTGAAAAAAGATCAGTGGAAACCACATGCAAAATCCAAAAGTGTGAATTTACATATTTTTATAAAGCTATCATACGGTTAATAATTGCTCATTGCTAAAGATGAATCTCCAAGGCCTCCAATCCCACTATTACATAAAAAGTCCAACCTGAACAAGGAAATAAAGGGAAAAAGTCCTGAGAGACTAAAAGTAGATTTTAAAAATAGTGTGTATTCTTGAGAACACATTTAAGTTTTCCTTTTTTCATTTGTCTTGTATAAAGAAAACAAATAACATAATGAAGACAGAATCACCAACTAGAAAGACAGCGTGGCACAAAAATTTGAGGAGCTAATGAAAAATTCCCATGAGAAACTGAAGGAATAACGTGAATGCTTTTAATTTACCTGACAATATAGTAAAGGCAGACTAATTCAAACTAAAAGGATGGAAAGATCAAACCAAACAAAAACTACCACTCATTGTATGTTTTTCTTGGATTAGCCTTTGGATCCTGATAGTGCCATGAATGTAATGAGCAGAATGTGAAAAGGAGATTGTTGCAATTTTCTTGCCCCCCCCCCCCAGCCCTATAAAACTGGTATTGCCCTACAGCTTTTTATAGGTTAGAGCATTTAGATCTCTAAAAAACCCACAAAAATGAAAAACCCAAATACAAATATTTCTCTTGTACATGGGTACTAGAATATCTTAAATTCTGTCTATTTTCACAATAAAAAAGACACAGCTTCAATATAACAAAGCATTTGTATGCCAGAAAAGGATAACAGTCTAACTACAGGAGTATTACTATAAAACTTTCAAAACAATAACGCAAAGGCAAAGATAGCACCAGGTGGGTTCTAACAAAGTCACCAGCTAGAAAACTGTGCTTACAACTTGCAGATATCTTGTCTTCTACTACAATGTCTAGCAGCTCCATGACTAGGTAACTACTGCTTTGCCAATGCTAAAGGTCTTCCTTCACAAACATTCCCCTCACATACTACTTGTACCTTGCACAAGCAGTGGATCAGGAAGTGCAGAACACTGCACAGAACATTTTCTCAGGTGCTCTCCTGCACATCACCTTGGCCCTGAAACATGCTCCACCAACAGTCTTACTTTCGACCAGAAGACATCTAGATCATTTGTGATTCTCTGTCCTAGGCTAGATGATGTAAATTGTACATAGTCTTATATTATTTTTTCCTGCCTATCAGACCCAAACATCAGGTTTTAGCATCCATTTTAGATTAGAAAACTAAAAGATACTACTTAACTGCAGCAATGAGAACAAAAAATATATATGAAATCAAGCTGCCATTCAGTGAAATATACAAACTCCTATTAAAAACTGAAAAGACCCAATTCTGAACCTTTACAACCTGCTCCACATAAGCGATTCACTCCCACCCAAAGACAGCTTATTCATCAGATGTGAAGTAATTTTTATGTATCTCACCTTTCTTCTGCAAATCAAAAGCCTTTCATTGTGAAGATCTAAAGCATGTTTGAAAGAGTAGCATTTGAAATCAACGCCATGTAAGCAAATAATTGATTTATACTTTCTCTGTGTAACCTATTTAGCAAACTAAGATGGTTTCTACTAGGTAACTGGCCACCTAAAGCATGCCACAGAGGGCTTTCTCTCACAGCCCAGGGGGTACTCATTTCTCTCCCTGCTTCCAATCCATGACACTTTCAAACTCCTTCAATTCTTCCAGGGTTGGAAGGCATGACTTCCTCTTCTTCTTCTTCTTTTCTTTTCTTGTTTGTTTTTGTCTGTTTTTAAAGTACAACTCTCCGTTCAACCCAAGACTTCATTTCTAAGCAGGCTCCCATCCAGTCATCCCACTGTCACACTCCTTCCCCTCTACATCATTCACTAAGCTAAACCAGTCTTCCTCCACACAGCTACACAAAAATAGCATTATGAATTGGTGACGCATATTTTCACGTCCTAAAAAGCAACACTAGACTTGTCCTTGGTAACCTGGCATGGCGTGTCAGTGGGGGCTGACAGCCAAGTAGTGGAAAACAAAGAGTTCAACCTCAGCCCCAGCCTCTCCTCTCAGAGGGCCCCGCAGCCCCTCACTGCCACCACCCCACACTCATGTCTGCAAAGAGCTAAATGAAAACGTTGGGATGGCAAAATACTGCAGACAAACTCCTATACCTTTACAAGGGCACCTCACAGGCAATCCGGTCAAAGCCCATGTTACAGTTATCAGCCAGCAAAGAAAGATCACCAGCGCAAGATGCTGGCTACTGCACCACAGCAGCTGAGGAACCCAGCAGGAGCACTGAAAGTCAGCATCCATCGCAGCTTTCAGTAGTGCAGGTGGAAGCTGCTCCTGCACCTTCAGAGTTGCTTTCTGGGCAAATAATCTTTAAACTAAGTCCTAGGCTATCTGAAAAAAAGATGGTAGCAGCAAGTTTTTCTTTGGTATTGCAATAAGAGAGAATTGAAATGTGCAGCAAGCAGCACGAAGCAAGAAGGGGAAGTTAGTCTTCAGATATTCACAATATTATGTGGGATTGCTTCTAAGAGCCTTATTACTTTTTTTCAAGTTTTCTGCAGCAGTTCTACTGCATAATTTCTACTATGAAATAAAAATACTGAGGGATCCCTCAATAATTTGGGTTTGGTAGAGCTTTTTGGTACTTACAGATTATATAACAAAACCAAAATGAGACAGACTTCAATGTAACATAGAAAAATATCAATTTTAGAAAGCAAACCAAAAAAGACAAAACTTTTAAATACTATTTGTACCATATTTGTTAATTCCAATTTGGGGAAAAAAAAATCTATTGGGCTACAGCTGATCAACAAAAGGATGCAGATCTCAAATACTTTTTACAATGCTGAACAAACCACTTTCCACAGATTTAAGAATTATCTATTCCTGAAAATATATTTATATATTTATTTATATTTATAAGTGTAATAAAGTAACTGTAGCAGTAAACCAGCCTCTACACCAAGTTTTTAGTATAACAAATTATTCATACATCTATGCTGCCACATACTCAGACCACAGACAATCAAGTGGAAAAAGGCTGCTAGGAACTTTGAGAATCAGCATTACCTCTTACTAAGTGGCATTCACCAGCAAGTGGATCCTCTAAAACCAGCCCAGTAGGTAAAGGTCTCCTTAAAAATCAGCTTTTATCACATCTAAAGCTCAAATATATGGGACTGAGAAGCCAACATGCTAGTAGTTGCAAAAGAGTATTTTGTTTTGTGTTAAACTGGAAGTCTTCTTCAAGCATTTAAAGTTGATTTGTAAATGTTAGTTTGTATTAATATAGGTCAAAGCTTTTTTGCACAAATACATTACAGACATTTATAGAAACAATTATTAATGGGTCATTGTGTTTGTAATTACCAACATGTTTTGGATAAATTTTGAGTGATTCCAGAACAAAAAAAAACCATTAAGTCCTGATTTTACAATGTACTAAATTGATTAAGGTCCTCTGAATTATTAACCTTTAATCAGCTATCTGCCCAATACACAGAACTATTTCATAGCAAGGTGAAATATTATCCCCAGATAACTTACTACCATGTGACTAATTAAAACACTTCTTGAACATGTTACCAAATTGATCATCATCAACATTTTGGTCAAATGACTGAAATTTTGATGTAGACATAGGAAACAGTGGTCTTCACACCATTTAGCTAGTATGTGCTCATGTTGTGCATTAGATTAAGCAGACTCTTCATTTTCAAAACAGAAATATTCCTCACAAAACACATACTTAACATGAAAGTCTACCCCTTACAAGATGGAGCTAATTATGAGTAAGAATACTCATGACACAGCAGATAAATAAAGACTTCGTTCAGTGGGACTAATCAGTGGATTTAAGCAGCAGATAAGAATGAGAGTACAAACATGAGAAGCAAAATCCTGGTTCCTCTTCATGGGATTCATGTTACTAAGTTTAGTGAAGACAGGATTCTACCCTCAGATATGAAAAGTATAAAACATCTTTCATTCAAGGATCAGAAAACAGCTCAATTACAGACTGTGATGTCCCATTAGTATGCTAGTCACTCATATTTAATGTGATTGACCAAGACCAGACATCTGTGAGCAAGATGGGAGAGCTGAATAGCTGCAACAGTGTCATATGACAAAAGATCCCTGCTGCTCTGCAGGTGGTTAATTTTGAGGAAGGGGGTGGTATTGCCCCCTTAATTTCCTGAATAATCCAGTAAATTCTTGCTTGGTATCAACCTAATGAGCTGTTAAAACAAAAAACAAAAACCCACACACAACCCCCAAAAACCAGACTAACAGAAAACCCCAACCAAAACCCAGTCCTAAAGTGGTCTTCTCCCAAATTAGAAACTTGCAGAAATTAAGTAAAATATTATTAATCACAAATCAGTCTAAACACTAATATCTGCCCTTATAAATTCTAACAAGTTACACAAATTCAAGACTTTATAAAGCTTGCCCTATTATAAACAAAAAAACCCACCAACCCCTTGAAAAAAATACAACCACCTTTCAAGAAACATTATACAGTGTATGGATTGCACACATTTTTTCACAAAGTAGGATGCAACTATGGGATGCTGGTTTTTAATTCTGCAACCCATTTGATGCTCAGCAAAATGGGAACAAAGTGCATTATAATTTTGTTCTTCCAAAAACCTCAGAAGCCAGTGTTTTATTTGGTAATGTCTCCCTAGTTAATAATCAAAAGGAATTTGGAGCAAAGGCAGCTCAGTTAGTTTGATAAACTGTAATATGATATAATTTTGTACTTTAAATATTTACATTTTGTGAAACT